GGGATGTATTCTGTTTGGCGAGTGGCATTTGCGAAGAGGTGATTCCAGCCAGACACTCGTGTTAGTGAAGCATGACTTGAAAAATGACAGAAACTAATTCAGCTGGAACGAGTCGACATTTGGCAATGCATTGGCAATTGCGTAGTGTCTATTTTGGGTTCATTGGTAAATAAAGGGCACAGATTACCAGTACGCAGTAAATTCTGGATTTATGTAGACGGAAAAGGACGCCATGCGTTTGTCAATCCTTTGTCTCTCGGTGTTGAGCTGCATGGTTTTGCACTCGGTCAATGATCACATCGATTGGCTGACGAGCCGAGTTTGCATTCTCAATTGTCGCACTGTACTTTCTCGAAATTTAACGAGCTCAACTATTCGTAATTGTGAGTGCAACATTGTGGGCATGTGCTCTTAATTAATCGCTCACAAGATCCAAATGCTGGTGAGAACAGAGTACAGATGGCTGTGGCTTCGAGCCACAGTGAACGCGTGAGCTTTCATTTCGAGAAAGAGGTTGTAGGACAATAAGCCAAATTACCGGGGTGAAAACGTCAACGACGTTACTTCTGGTGATCCACCTCCTTTGATCTGTTTAATCGCTATTCGCAGTGGTGCTACGTCGGAAGCCTCATGCTTGGTCAAATGTGTTCTACTCGTATTTAATTCAAAAATGTTTTAATTGTCATAAAAAGATGCCAGGTCATGGATTACATATAACCGACAGATCTCTTCAATATAAGGTAGATCAGCTAATGTGGAATGGTAATTAATGCATCTATTGCATCAATTATGGGAAGGACAAGTGTCTCTCGTCATCGTGTGCAAACGGCTCTATTGTATATTCACCATCTTCAGAGCACCTCTATTGGTGCACGGTGACACTGGCCAACACGTCTGTTCTCTTTCAATTTCATTCTTTTTTTGCATTTATGTCGCCCTTTGTGTAGATTGTGAATTATATTCTCTCGTGTGCGCATGCAGGTGTATGCAACTAGACGATCAGCCGTCAATGCTTTTGATGTTCAGCACTTCTCCGAATCCACTAGCTCCATGAGCACCTTTGTATTGCCTCACCTATCAACTTTGCAGTCACAGGTCGTCTAGGTGCTAGTCCACTATGTCAAGGTCGTACAAGACAAATATAAGCTCCTAATTCTGATATATCGCGGGGACTTTGAATGAGATGGTTAGAACTTTCTGCACGGGACTCAGTCTTATCTCAGATAGGGTAGGTGTTTGTCCACTCTTGTTTTGTCCGAGGCGTTAGTGACGGGCTAACAACAAAAGGGTTTCTATTATTAGCGACTGGGATCTTGCATCAGCATCCCAGTAATCGTGACAATTGCAGATGAGTTGATTCGCGACCATCAACGCGACGGTCGTCGCAAGCTCCAGTACACCACCCATCCCTATACAGTGTGAGCGTTTGTCACGTGAGACTGAATGCTCACTCACCCCTGCACATGCAGCACGCGCGGTGCCCGTTTCATTCAGTTGGCCATCCGTCAGTTGTCCTTTTACAAGTTCCTAACCACATTAGTCATGCACTTCCCCTGAATACATGCCCACGACCATGACACGCGGGGTTGGGCTGTCCAGTGAATGGCCATCGTGGGTGTCTGTGTAGGATTTTCGAGCTGCGTTCAACAAAACGGCCCCGGCGAGGTTCATGACCAAATGTCGGGGCCTTGAAAGCACTGAAGCGGAGGTTTTGGCGTTAAAACTGCACGCTAAGCTGTGGATGCATCAAATTAGTCTTGATGTTAACTCGACCCACAAACCTTTATGCCAGAACCCATGTATTTCGCAAGGGAGGCGAAAGTCAACGTAGCTGTTGACAGGTAACGAGTGAAGGCACTCGTGTAATTAATTACCGCCATATCGGTACGCATGCACCACAGCATTTCAATGCGAACACTCCGCATTCCATTTTCTTTTAACCAACAGAAAACACCTTTTTGCGAACTGATACACGAAGAAGGTTGTAATGTTTACGTCTTAGGTGTTTAAGCATTAGACAGCTGCAATAACCTGAGACTTAACCCACATTTTGTGAGTGCAATGAGACACCTAGTTGGAGCTGTAATTTAACCGTTTTAAGGAACAACGTGCGTCAACACATTTGGCGCATAGTGGGTGTGGAAGAACACAGTTTTTGACTTTCCTGTTTTTTTATCGGAACATATGTGGTTCAAGGGTCGTTTATATCGTTACCGATTACGCCAATCATCAAATCCGGTGGACTCGGCCTTTCTTGACTGTAGTCTGAGGGTGGAATCAAGCGATGCTGTTTATCTTCAACTAACAGTTTCTTTAACGACTTACGGTACCTGCGTCACGAGCAAGAAAAGCACAGTATGCGTTTTTATTCGAAGCCTTTAAACTGATATTCGTCAAACAACCTAAGATTATGCATGCTTTTTGACAGCTGTTAACTCTAAGGCACTGATTTCAGCCATGAACTGATCCGCGTACTCCGAGTCGACGGACACGAGGATCTTGGTCAGCGGTTCGTACTGCGACACCTCGCGGGGTCTCTCAGTGAGAAGCTTCTTCTCATTGATGTACTAAAAAAGAAGGCAAAGTAGCTTTTGTCGTGCTGCCGTTTTGGTGAATGTTACAATGTAAATTTGTAGGATAGCATCCCCATCAAAATGACTGCGGTTTTTACTGAATCTGAAACTGAAAGGACCAGTATTTAGTTGGAGATACTGCACGTCAATTTGTCACGGCTCCTTGCGTAGATGTGCGAAGCCTTGCGCTTGCTTCACAACGCAAAACGAAAGTTCATTTACGCTGTTGGATGTTAGCGGTGGGTGAATCCAATTAACACATGCGTCGCCACTTTGTGTGGTTAAATTTTTGGCACACTGCGACCTAATTCTTTGCGGACAAGTTTTGTATGCTGCTACATAGGACAACCTGTGATCCTCTAGGGCACAATTGGTGTTTTAGTATTTTTAAACACCAGGACTTTTTGGAGACATAAATGAAGCCTCTAGTGGGACTTCCAAGCCCTTTTCAGGCTTCTTAAACTTTTAAATTGGCGTACCACGAACTGTCAACATTGTGTGGAATTTGTTAGTGTGCTTGCAGCGTTTGATCTTTAAACAACAATGAACTAGCTTTGAATTGGACCGCTGTAATGCTGTATCAGACATTTCATCCGGTTTACGTTTTGAGGCAAAAAGAGTGTTTTCCTTTTTCCAAAAAATATACTTACCAAAGGTTTTTCTTCAAAACTACATTTAATACTGACTATTGATTACCTTGCTTTCAGTTTGGATTTCTTTTACGGCTAAAAATGTTTTCAACGGATTACCTGAGTCCCAAGGGTTTACGGGTTTATATTGAGGTCCAATATCGCTCTAGTTAGGCTACACTTCGCGCTGCTTAAAGTGTTTTCACAGCGTTCATGATTCTGGTAAATTATAAAGAAGTGGTTGCATCTTCTATTTGTTGGATGCACAACCCCACCGCATTATTCCCTTTTTTTCAAAACTAAGGCATGACAAGATAGGTTAAACAATGCCTGATTGCTGCTAGAATAAAATTTAGAATAAATTTTCTAACTTGCTATGTGTAGAATCTGAAATTTGCCATGCCGAATATATGCATGCATGTATCGATGCCTCAAAATTTAACTTATGCAATTCTAAACACAAGTAAGCTTTCACGACATCATAAATCATGCTTAGATGAGTGCACAGATGTGCCTTCGTCTAATAGTTATTCAGCTGAATATGCATGCGGACAGTCACTTTGAAGTGAATAGTCTACTGAAATCCATAGTCGCACACTTTTGTTTCGTTTAATTCAAGATTAATTTGATAAAATGCCAATGTGTTCGGATTTTTCTGTTTGTCTGACAATGGCTTGGCTATCTGCTTATATTAATTAACGCACAGATACGCCAAACGAAGGTAGGAAGTCAGCCTTAGGTACGTAAGTTAATTAGTGTAAAGTCAGTCTAACTGATGCTGCAGTGAAAAATAAATAAGTGAAGGATGTCAATGTTGGAAATTACTTGCGGGCATTAAAGCTAGGAATCCGACTTGAAAGCCTCGTGGGAAACGAAATGCACAAAAATAGACCCACATCTTCGTGTTGCACGAAAATCATGGAAATCGCAGCACCACTTTCTTTCGTTTGCTCAGAATGTCACTTGTGGAAATATTGTCATCATTAAACTACGGGACACGACTTACCCTATTTACAATCTCTTGAATTATCGGCGTCTGGCTGCTTTCGCGGTACTCAAAATGGACGTAAACGAGAGACATGTTTAAGCCGGTGCAGGGCCTAATTCTGGTGGAAGCGACGAGGCGCGGCACTATTTATATGCAATTGCCAGGTCCGATTCGATTGGTCAGCACAGTCATTGCACAAAAACCAACCTATTAGAATGTGCCATTGTATTGACTTCGAGTAAATGGGATTTGTGAAATTCGGGAGACTAACTTCTGCTATTTTCATTTAAACTAATCCTTAACCAGGGACTTGTCTACCCGGCGTGGCGCGATACGTGTTGGATGCGTTTTGATTTAATTTTTTTTCGGTGAACTTTGACTTGGGCAAAGGGGGAATTTTAATGGGCGATATTGAGACGAATCTAGGTAGAACTTTATGTATGTCGAAATTATGATTATTTCACCTAACGAACCACAGATCACGAATATTGCATCAGGTACAAGCCCGGATTGCTTCAAGCTTAGCATCCAGTTAAAGTTTGCGCAGTGAATTCCGCATGATTTTAAGAATCAATCGAAATCGACGTCATAAGTATTAGACAGGATGATACGGTATCCTTGTACGTTAATTTAACGACGCAAAATCTTACAATATTGACTTTTTTGATACTTTCAAAGGAAAAAATAGACACAATTCATGGGTCATGTTTTTCTGACATAAAGTTTTTTTTTTGCTTGAAAAAAATCAGAACAGAGGGACAAAGTAAGTAGTCCTGGAAGACTAGAACTGGTACTTAAACATCGAACAATTACCGACGAATGGCTAGCTACAATGATGTATGTGGGGGTAAACCACACATTCAACTTGAGAATCGTACACAAACACTTCCTTAAGTCAGAAAAACATTACAAAATCAATAAAATCGTTATTTAATCTAACGCCTTTTAAATGACTTGAAAAGCTAAAACTCCTGTGTTACCTTTACTTGGAAAATGTCGGTTTTCGACACCGATTCCAAATGAGATAAGCTGGGGATGATGAAACTATAAAATTTACCTAAGCTACTGATTTCTCGTGGTCACTGGCCCATGGTAACCAAGTTTTAAGAGCATAGATCCAAGTCCAACTGTGTGACTAACAGAGGTACTTGTTAGAAATTAGTGTTTTAATTTACTGTTTCACATTTTGAAATAGGCACGTGTTGTAGTCACGTAAAACGTGATTTATTTTTCGCTGATGGAGTGTAAAGTGTTTTTAAATGATGATCTCGCATTTTGCAGCAATGTGTGTTTATTTTAAAAAGCATTAATACTGAACACGCCTCTCCATTTAACACACCTGTATGCGTTCGTTGTATCCGTTCAGATTAAAAATTGTATGAGGAAATTTCAAAGCCTATACAAACAACCAGCTTCAGGTTCTTCAGATATTCATTAAAAGCCAACTGTGCACCATACCGGACAACAATAAGCAAGAAATTTTAGATAAATTTCAACCTATCTATTTCCCTAGTCAAAAACGCAACGCCACAATCGATGTTGGATAGTGTAAGCAGCAAAATGCTGAAACCGATTAGTAAACCGTCCCGTGAAGGCAAATCCACGAACCAAAACCGAAACGGGAATTTATGCGAACACCAGTTCATGTATACGCGCTCAATTCTGTCGGTAAATGTTAACTGGACCACAAACACAATCCAGTGTGGGTCGAATCGAATGTATGCTAAGTCGTTTTTCTTGAATAGTTAGAGTTTCCAAATTGTGGGATTATCTGATTATGCAGAATCATTTCAACTAAGTTTCGCTGAGGATGCTGGGGACCTCTGTTTGAAAGCAGCGAAATGCCGTCACCTTCCTTGTTTTCTGCAATCCTCAGTTATTCATTTACTAATGCTAGAATTACAATATCCCGCAAAAAATGTTGAAAAAGAAAACGTGAATAGCTCGAAATCGGTTCTGTGGCATCCACAAAGTCACTACTCTGTATTTACGGCATCCAAGTACTTTCCAAGGTGTAAGTTTGAGCCTTGTCAGAAAACCATTACCTGATAATAGCAATATTTGCTCGAATCAACAAAAAATGTCTGCGTATTTATTTGCTTAGTTCAACGAAGCTTAAATACACCACCATTGTAAATAATACCAGCGTAAGCAATAGTGGCTAAACGTGTCGAAATCGAAGAACAGCAAGGATAATCCGGTAAAGTGGATTTATATTGCGGTTATCCTAATCAATAAATATTACAACAATAAGTGTAGTAAATAGTAAATGTATGAAACAAATAGAGTTCTTACCCCCCTTTAAATAACCCTTAAAAATTAAAAAAATGTGATCTAAATGTCATATTTTCACGTTTACCGTTTATTAATTAATTATAAGTTAGAGGAGCGTCAATTTTATGCATTCCCAATTTTAGAAGTCTGGTTGAATTCATTACTTTTTTTTACACCTGATGATATATATGCTTTGTTTTTCATGCCATCTGCACAATATTCATTCTAGTAACGTGTATTTATATTTAAACTTGTTTTGCGGTCTGGAATTTTCTAACCAGACCATTGTGGCTTGCTATGTTTAGATGATGCAAACTAAGCACAATGTTTTGAGTTTTGGGCGTATAATACTTTGGTTTTCTTTTACCTTTTTGAAAGACTATGGTGTAGTGGTAGTGTTTTTTGAATCAAACTTTGCTGCCTCGTAGGCACATTTGCATATTTTATGATTTTAATGTGTGTTGAATTCAAACTTGGGAGAATGTTTGCCTTGATTATTCATGTAGATGGTCTGAAGTCATTATTGGTAATTCATCCCCTTTACAATTTCCAGTAGCAAATCAGCCTTCTACTTTTTGGAGTTTTGTTGCTACCAAGTTTGCATTCAATTTTTGCCAAACGCTTGTATATTGTTGCAGAACTGTTTTTGTTTAACCAATAGAATTTTAGATGGGATGAATTTTTTTTATTAGAATTTCTTTGGTAAAATGAATTTTTACATTGCTTTAAAGTATTACACTCAGTATTCAATGGCAGTTAATATACTAAATGAAGCATTTCTGCAATTTTAATCTGATGTGTGGCTATTGTCCCAGGTTAATCCCCAAAAGTAACTGTATTGCAGTTATCAGCTCTTGATTTATGGCCCATACTTTCAAAACATTTCAGGGAAATCTAGACTAAGCTGTTCCGATGGTTAAAATATGGCGCCTGCAATATGTATCTATGTATTCATGTCACACACAAAAACCGCCTGCATATAACATATCCGGAAAATGCGAGATATTTCGCCCTCTAGAGCCGTTCAAAGTCACTTTCAATTCGATGATTTGTAACCAAGAGGAAAGAGGACGACTGCGTGTTGTGCACGCGAAATGTGCATT